GGTGCTAAGGAGAAGTCTACAATGAGTACCTGGATGTTTAGTATTGGTTTTAAGGAACTAATAATGTGGGTGTATAGATGCTCTTGGGGAATAGAGTTCTTGTGATTTAGGGTCTTGAGAGGACGACTTGAGACAAATATTGGTTGGTGTGGAAGGTAGTATTGGGCTCGTACTACTAAAAGCACTGGATCCGTAAGCGACTCAAGGAGAAATCTTAGTAAACTAAGGAACTTGCAGGAGTGTGTAAGTGTTCGTGTATGCGCTTTAGTCTGTTTCTGATGGTGTTCTTGTGTGTTTCAGTATGGTGGTTACCCGAGATTCAGGCTCCAGGGACCCCGAGAGGCCGAGCTCCAGTGATGATGAGATCCGTAGGATCGTTGCCGCCGAGGTGGCCGTGGCAATCAGAGGGGGTATACCAGACATGTTTGGGTCTATTAAGACAACACTGATTGAGACTTTCAACGAGCACTATGCCGACGTCATTAAGGTTGAAGCTGTTGTACCCACCGCGGTTGTTGATGTTGTAAGACCGCAGGGGGGCGATTCATTGTGGTACCTAGAATTCAACAACACGAAGCCACCATATTTTGATGGGACCTAAGACCCGATTTTCGTGATGAGATGGATTACCGATGTATGAGGGTTGTTTTTTGTAACATTCGCTTTCTTGGATGAATCGAATTAGGGTTTCAGTGGGTCAAAAGGTTAGATTTTTGGTGAAAAAGGGGCCCTCGCGACGTGAGGCATGGATGCTCACGACATGAGGAGGGCCACATGAAGATTTCCATCTGGGACTGAGCCCACGACGTGAGAAATAAGAGCTCATGATGTGAGGAGCTCTGCAGCCCAAGCCCACGAAGTTTTAGGGTTTCCTACGTATTTAAGCCCTCTCATCTCGGTTTAGGTTTCATTTCTCAGCCTCCACCTTCCCTAACTAAGAAAACCCTAACCCTAATTCATCTTTGTGATTTTGAATCCATTTTAGTGTTTTGGTGGCTAGAAGAAGAAGGAGAATAGGCTATAGAGTGTTGGTTCAGCAAGAAGGCTTCATCATCATCATCATCTTGTGCACATTTTGGACCATTGTAAGTATCCAAGATCCAATCTTTATGAGCTCAAATTTCTAGATCTAAGTTCTAAGCTCCTTTTTTCATGTTTATGTTGGATCGCATGCTTGAGATCCATAAAGTTGGCAACTTTGTGGATCAATGAGTCATTATCTATGAGTTAGTCATATGGATCTGGAGTGTGGTTGTGATTTATGAATCTTGTTTGAGTTTGGGGCCATTTCTTGTCATTTTGACCTAAGATGGGTTTAGGACATGCTTGGGGCATGCATACCCATCAAGTAATCATTTTTATTGGCCTTTGAAGTCCTTATGAGCTTCTGAAAGAAATAGGATTGAAGGCTTAATGGGTTAAGGACTTAAGTTGGATTTTTTAGCATCAAACTATTCTCACGACAAGATGACACAAGGTCTCACGACGTGAGAAGCATTGGTCCCATTTCTGGTCATTTGTTTGGGGCTCACGACGTGAGGGCAGCCCCGTTGACTTTTCCTTGGCTGAGTTGACTATGTTGAGTCGTAATGAGTTGGGATCTGATTGAGTAAGCTCTCACGACATGACCAAGGTTGGTCACGAAGTGATATGTGGTTTTTGGGCATTTGGGCCTTGTTGGGCCCTAGTTTTCTGTATGTGGGCCTTTTGATGCTTGGGCCCATTTGGAACTTTGGGTTGTGAACCAATTATTAATTTGGTATTATTTCTTGGTGCTAGCGCGCGGGAGTTTTCCGGATCGGCAGTCCGAGCTTTTATTTGAGATATTCGCCAGTTTTAGGTTAGTTTTACTAGTCGTTGAAAGGCCAAATTTTTTATAAAATTGTTTTTTTTTACATACCATTTTCACCTATAAATACCCCATTCTAAACATTATTTCTTACACCATTCTTTTCTTACTCTATACACAAAATACACACAACATTTTCACAACCAAATCCATGGATCCCAACCAAAACACCCCCCCCCCCCCGGGCCAAACTTTAGAAATCGCAAACCCGATAACGCTTTTGCGTTAGACACAACCCCTCGCCAATTCCCGACCATGGAATCACCTCAAGGTGGTTTTATCATTTTGCTTCAAACTGGTTCCCGTATCCAACAAACAACACTTTTCCATCAACAATATCAAGCTTTCCCGGCCTTCCAACAACAACAACTTCAATAATATCAAGTTTTCCAACAATTCCAACAATAATTCCAACCATAACCATCACAACCCCCTCATTCGCCGGATTTTGTTTCGGAAACTCAACCTTCACCACCACCTCAATGTGAAAAGAAAAAAGGAAAAAAAATTGGTCCGACCCAACACCACCCAAGAAAGAGTCCCATGGACAAAAGAGGAAGAAGAAAAGATAGTCGAGGCATGGATTTCGGCTTCCCAAGACCCAATCGAAGGCGATAGTCAAACGCTCGGTTGTTTTTGGGAGAAAGTTTGCACGGTGTTTTATGAGCTAACGGGAAGTGAAAGTCCAAATCCCGATCAAATTAGCTCGAAGTGGGGCGATATTCGACTAAAATGCACCGAATTTGGAGCAATTTACAACAACCTCCTAAACATACGAAAAAGCAGGTCAAATGATTTTGATGTCTTCAAGGCGGCTTTGGACCAATTTGAAAAAATAACGCCAACCCGCAAAGCTTTTCCGTATGTGAAACATTGGCGAAAGTTGAAATATGCTCTGAAATGGAAAGAGCAAACGAAAGGAAGTACACAATCTTACGCTTCAAAGCGTTCAAGAAACCCCGATGCAACGTCTCAACAATCGGACGAGCAAACAGATTTCGACATCAACGATGATTCGTTCAATCTTGAAGACGAGCAACCTCTTCGTCGGCCCGTTGGAAGAAATAAAGCAAAAAAAGCGACTTCAACGGTTTCGGGATCTAGTGTTATAATTTGATCATTATGTGCACGTTCAGAAAAAGAAGGCAGAGATGTTGAGTTGGGTAGAACAAAAAATGATAGAAACACAATCGGTGATTCAAACAAAAACCGATAAGGAAATCTTGAAAATGAAAGCGGGCGACCTCGAACGCAAAGATTTGGAGCTATTTCTCGCGATGAAAGAATCCGTTCGAGTCTGACGTAGGAATAGAGGATAGTTTTTTTAGTTAAGCTTGATAATTTTAGGTTTTTTATTTTAAATGTTATTTTTATTTTTTTTATTTTAATTAATGTAATTTTTATTTTTAATGTTATTTTTATTTTATTTTTTTAATTAATATAATGTTTATTTTTATTGTTATTTTTATTTTTTTTTATTTTAATTAATGTGATTTGGTATTTTAAATTAATGAAAATAGTATTTTTTTTTAAAAAATTATATGATTTTTATGTATTTTTTATTTAAATTTAATTAAAAAAAATAAGGTGGAATAGTGTGTTTAATGGTAGGTATCATATGGTTAGTAGTAGGGAGTGTGCTGATGACGTGGCACCCACCACTATAGTGGTTAGTGATGGGTATAATGGATAGTCTAATCATGAGATACCTACCACTAAACACATCATTTCATCTCATTTTTTTAATTAAATTTAATTCAAAAATACAATAAAACGTATCTTTTTTTTAAACAAGTTTTTATTCAATTAAAAAAACATTACATTAATTAAAACAAACTTAAAATGAAATAGAAAAAAACATAAAAATACATTTACAAACAACTTAATTTTTTAAACCTTATTTTTTCAATGATTGAATTTTTGACACTCCTTCAATTTTAGCCAAACTTTTAGGTGTGTAAACGGTTTGTGTCTTCATATACATATTGATGTATGGACACAACAACCGCTCGCCTTCGTGTACGTTGTTTATAACAAAGTTATAAATTTCATTGAACTCAAGGCATTTAACTCTTATATCGCAAAACTTCGAACGTAGTTAATCAAGACTACGACTTCGGCAACTCATTAAATCATGAAAAACGTTTCCAACTTTTACCCAAAAATCATCATCCATTCAGGTATTTGGCTTTTCTGAAACCGTCACCCTTGTGGAAATTGTAAATCGTTGTGGGCAACACGGATCGCCACGACCACAACCCACAACGACACACCGGGATGGTATGCACGGTCGTGGTTCGTGGCCACCTCGTCCACGAACTCATTCATCGTCTGTATACGAGAAGGCCTTATATTATATATGGCCTTATTTTGACTAAAACTGAAGTTGGATTCATTGCATGTAACACTCCAATTTCCAAAGTTTTGACCTATATTTTTGATTTCACCCCATCAAAATCAAACATATGTTTTATCAGGCAATGCTTATTCCAGAGTTCAACCATTTTCAATGACAATTGACTAAAAATGTTTTTTTAATCTTCCACTTTTCTACACACAAAAACATATTTACAAACATTCTTTTAATTAAACTGTTTTCATAAAGGGAGAATTTCATATATGTCCCTTTTAAACTTCAAAATATCATATTTGCCCAACTTAATTTCTCAATATTATATTTACCTTTCATAAACCTTCAAAATATCATATTTGCCCAAATCATTTTTTATAATGTTTTTAATATTTTATAATCATTTTTTATAACTTAGAATTATTATAATAATTAAAAATTTTAACCATATTATCTTTACGTCTATGATAATGGAATGTAAACTTCTAAATTGTTGGAATGTCGCCCTTTTGACAAACAAAAAGATTCATCTTCAACCCTCTCTATGGAATGTATATTTTGATTGCTTAGTTTTTGTTGTTGTTGATTATTATCATGTTGTAGATGGAGGATATTTTAGATATTACTATTGATATTTTAATGTTTAAAAAGTACATATACGATATTTTGATATTTAAGAATGACATATATGATATTTTGATGTTTAAAAAGGACATATATGATATTTTGAAATTTTATGAAGGGTAAATATGATATTTAGAAATTTTATAAAGGGTAAATATGATATTTAGAAATTAAGTTGGGTAAATATGATATTTTGATGTTTAAGAATGGCATATATGAAATTCTTCCTTTCGTAAAACTATAACCGTTATCCAATAATATACAAAGAAATGGCATGGCAATCAAATTCGGTGGTTTGTAATGATCTTTTTTAATTTGAAAAAATGACATTACAATAATTCCCTTATTTTAATCTTCATCTTGACATCTCTTGCTCCTCTGGTGGTATCAATCGAAATACTGCCACTGCTTGACTTTCCCTCCTCTTGTTTTCATGCCATCCTATATATTTTTTTCACAAAAATAATAGTATATTATTTATCAATTGTCATCCATACCTTAAAACTAGTAACATTGATTTGTGTGCACAAGATTCTTTCATTTTGCCTTTTATCAAACCACATTTTACAAAATTAAGAAGTAATCAATAATTGAATTGTGCATAAGTGAGAAGATCTTAATGCATAATTACAAAAACATACATGGTCCGTGTACCCTTAATCAGTCCAAATACTTATGTAATGGGACTGATGTGGACCCGACCCGTGTATGTGGGGAGAAGGAATGAGATCCAAGTACCGATTGAAACGTTGAAGCCCTGATGATCAAGCTCCCGATACTGTTGACATAAGGCACACCATCCGCAAAATGCATTGATCAAACAATCTTCGAGTAGGCTTCCTTTTAACTTGTATTTTTTTCTCATTTTGACACGATATAGACAAGTGTAAGGGAAAGTCAACCACAACATGAATATGAAAACAAAGCTCCCTGCTCCTAAACACGCACACAATGTCGCTGGTTCATACCAAGCTGCATCCATTTCCATGTGAAAGACAAGTTAACTTCAAAGTTCAAACATAATTTCAATCAAACAGTAGAATGTAATAGAATCAAACACGAGTTGTGAGCTATGAATCTGAGCTCATGGATTCTTTATGTATAGACATGATCCCCATGAAAACAGTAATTGTAAATTTCTATACATCTAATGAGACTCACATAACCGATAACGAAAACAAAAGGTGTTTTGCACGGTGGTCAGTAGTGGTGGTTTGGGGTTCAAACAATGAATTGATTGGAAGTTTCGATTGAATCACTAATTTCAAATCTCCGATTGAAGAATTGATGAACGAAAAGCAAATGTTCAAGTGACTTACGCGTATGTCCTTCCGTCAAAATCTCAGCGATCTCCCCAAACGTAATGCACGGACAAAGCGTCGTAACGAAACCTGAAATTTGGGGGTGAAATTGATCAAACGATTTCATATGACCGAGTGAAGATGTATATTTTGAAAATACGATTAAAAAATTTGCGATTACGTACAGTTTTTGATGTTGGAGGTACACTGGAAAAGACCGGTGGACCAATCTCGTTCATGATCCGGATACAAATGACCAGGATTTGATCTCCGGGGACTCAAGGAATAAGGATACCGTGCTCCTGATGACGACGCCCCCGGCTGCATGTGATAGAAATGTGGTGGAGGTGCTCCCGTCGTTCCCGGTTGAGATTGACCAGGAAACATCTGAGGGTTGTAGGTTTGGTAGTGCAGAGGCGGTGGTACTACCATTGTTGATTGTTGATATTGAGGCGTTGATTGCGACGTCACCGCCCATGGTGGTGGTGGTGGAGGCGGTGGCGGCGGCGGTTGTTCATGGTGTGACGATATAGGAGCTTGGTTGGGTTGCATGTGGGGCTCAATTTTGGACCCCACCGAGATACCAACAAGAGATGGCGATGGCGAATAATAAAATAGAGATGAAGAGGGAATTTGTGTCGCAATACAGCAAAAATGGATTTGTGAAGAATTGGAGGAGGAAGGAAGGAAGGGATTGAAGATGGTGAATGGTGGATGAAAATTGGATATCGGAGGTGACGATCGAAAAGAATAAAAGTTGACTTTGATGCTCAAAATTAGGAGGTTAAATATTGGGAAAGAATTGTAAATATGGATTATATTTGTATTTATAGGTTAATAATAATTAAATAGCAATCCTAGTTTCATATTTGTTCCACCACGTAGGTATCTCAACAAAAAAAAAGTAATAAAGTTTTATCATACAACTTTTTTTCTTTTTGGTCATTCCTATAAGTTATAAGTGGGTTTTACATTTTAAGTAGAATTTCATTGTTAGGCAATATATGTTTAATCGTAAACATATAATTTTGTTTCTGACATAATGATATATCTTCAAGTTCCAATCCTGTGACAGTTGACATAAATGATATAATCTTCAAGTTCCAATCCGTTGGTATATTTACGTGCTCAAATAAAAACAATAAGTGATATTGATTTTAAAAGATAGAATTCAAGGATTTCATAGAATTTTTAAAAGTGACTAGGTTGGAAAGAATAGTGTTGTATTTTTATTTTCATGACCTGAACTCAAATTATGTTTTAAGACTTGAAATGGGAGAGTCATATAGAGATCACGTAACCAAAAACTCGTGGGGAAAGGAAAAGTGAGAATGTGGGTGGGGGTCTAGAGGGAGACTGGGAGAGAGACCCATTTTTATTTTTTTTAATTAATTAAGCATATATAAAAATCAAATATAAAATAAAAGGAGTAAAAAAAACTTTTTATATAGGCCAAAAACCAACCGCATAAAACAGCTAAAATCATATAAAAAATTCCTGGCAACGTAATTTTTATCTTGGTATCAGAGCTTTGAATCAAAACGTTCTTAGCTCTATGGAAGGCTAAACTCCTAAGGTATATTCAGGAAAAACAGTAAATGTATTATTTTATCAATTTCTTGTATTTCTACGGTAACATTTCTATTAAAAACTTCATAAAAACTCTTGTTTTTAGATAAAAGACAGCGCAATTGCTTCTATTAAAAAGTACCGAAAGAGTTGGTAAGTGTTTGAAGTTAACCGTTTGGTGAGTCCTAAAACAAGTTTGTAAATATAAACCTTTGAAGTTTTTATGTTATGTCCGATCGCTTTGAGCAAGAGATACAAAATTGGTACGATAATTCACGAACTGTGGATCCTGAGTATATCATTTTTAAAGAAAATAGTTCTAAACCTACAACTACCGATTTAGCCAATAATTTAGCTTGTATTTATAATCGTTTAAATCTCTTTTCTAAAGTAGCACTTAAGAATTTTAAAAGTATTTCTGAAAAACAAAAAGATCTTGAGTCAAAAGTCCAAAGTTGTCAAGAGAAGCTTGAATCTTGTGAGGAGTTATTAAGAAAAACTCAGAGTGAAACCAGAAAAAGCTTTCAACAAATCTCAACTGAGATCCATCAATCTAAACCACTCACAAAAAGAGAAGTCCTGAGCCTTGTTCAAGAAATAGTTGAGCAACCAAAATTAGTTGAGAAAGAAGCCCTCAGACTAACAGAAGAACTCAATCATAAAACCCAGAAGGTTGAAAATCTTCTTCACGAAGTCAAGAGGCTCATCACCGGATGAGTATTGCCAATCAAAAGGCAACTACTGAGTATCAGGAAGCCATACAAGCCACTGAAGACTTTGAATCACCAGCAGTTGGTTTTGCAAAAACAACCGACTACAAAGAAGCTCTAGTTAGCCAAGTAAAGGCTGTTATAAAACAAAACAACACCTTGCTTTACTTAGCAACTAAGCAAAGTCAGAAACTGATTGAGATTGAAGAAAAGTTTGACAAGCTCAAACAAGAAGTTCAAACTGTTATCAAACAAAATACTCAGCCAGCAGATCTTGAAGACTCAATATCAAGCTTAACCAGAAGACTTGATAATTTCTCTATTAGTGGGAAACTTCCAGTAAAGAAAAGTAACGGGCAAATCTACGTCTTTGAAGATCCTAACAAAATCTTTAAAGAACAGTTTGGGAAAGAATCAAAGAAATGACTTTCAGAAGGCCTAGCATCCTCAACAGGAGTTCCACACAAACTCAAACAGAACTCCCAACTCAAGAAGATCAAATTCGTGGTTATCGACAAATGACCCGAAACAGATATCAAGCAGCTAGGGCAACAAGAAGAGTATTTGGAAGAAACAGCTATAATCGCACCTTGGAGTCTGTTGTAGATCCAGAAAGACAACTTGAAATATCAAGAGAGAGAAGGGCAAATCTTGTTCCAGCAGAGGTACTTTATTCAAACAATAGAAGTACTACAAGACACAGAGTCTATGAACACTACTCTGAGCAAAGAATCCTATGTGTTGGAGAAAATCAAGTTAACCTTCGGCTGTGTAACCAAGAAAGCTACCAGAACTTGAGAACTTCAGGGCTCCAGCATATTCACCTAGGAATATTCATGATCAGGCTACATGCACTCCACCGGAGAAGTGCGGGAACAAATGCTCTAGTTGTCCTTCGGGACACTAGATGGGAAGATAGTCGACAAATCATTGGAACTATGGAAGTCGACCTCTCTGCAGGAACGCAGCTAGTCTACATGTTCCCTGATATGGTTCTAAGTATTGAGGACTTCCATAATCATGTAGAAGTTGTCATACAAACTCATGGGTATGAAACTTGGCAAGGCGGCGAAAGTAATCTTTTGATTACAATAGCCATGACGGGTAGGCTATCAAACACTAGCTATATGGGATTCCAATATAGTGTAGAAAATGTTGTGGACCATCTCACAACAAATGGCATCACGGCAATTTCTGGTGAAAGAAGGAGTATAGAAGAGCTTGAAGGAATGAGCTGGAATCTAAAGCCATCTGAGCAAACATCAGTAAGTGTACCATCAAGAGTAGCGGTACATGAAAGGCTTAACAGATCATTAAGTCTCCAATTTGAAAGATATCGCCGAACCCCCCAACCAGCAAGATACTCTGTTGACCAGAATGATCGAGAAGTATTAGGTAACGATCATTTGGACGAAGATGAAGAGCATTTTATAGGAGTATGTTTTCAAACACCTCAGACAAAACATATCCCCTGTGATATATGTTTCTGTGAAGAATGTCTGGATGAAGCAAGGATCTTGGAGAATGAGCCACTGAACACAGCAAGACGTTCCAATAAGCCAAGACGATCAAAACATAAATGGTCAACTCTTGGTGAACCATCTGGAAAATGGGACTATTATGTCAAGTACGATACCTCAGTAAGCACAACTTCAATAGAAGAAATTGCAGCAACTGGCTGGGGAGATGGATTCCCAGATGATGAAATTACCCCAGGAAAAGTGACAATTATGGACAAAACAAGTGACTGGGATGATGATGAAAGAAGTGGTGGAAAGATCCTTGTCCTACGAGAAGAATTTTCAAAAAACCAACAAGATTTTCTTGATGAATATTTGCCACAATGGGATGACCAACTCGCCACACAAAGATCAGAGTCTGAATGGGAAAACCCATTCGCAGCGAAGCATGGTGAGGACCATACAATTCTTCATCTTTCCAAAGAAGATGATGACAATCTGCCATACCCAAAATTTCGCAACTTTAAACAAATGGCAGCACAAATGGTCAAAAAACACGAAGAACATGCTTTTCCAACAGCAAATGACGCAGAATCTGGTGCAAGCTATCAACCTCCAGATGATGCAATATTAGGACCAGCTGTCTACCCACCAGCACGGCAAAATCCACAGCCAATTTATAGACCAGACTACCAGTTTGGTTACCCTCAAGGAAAAGGCAATATTTTTAATGGAGGATATGGTGAATATCATAATTCACAGTGGACTCTGCCACCAGCATGGACGGAATCAGGTGTAATGCTTGTTCTACCAGCAGATCCAGGCTTATGGTCAGATGTAATAGCACGATGGGAGTCTATAACAATCAATAGGCTCAATAGCCAAACATGGACTGACAACAAAGCAAAATTAGCCTTTGTTGAAAATCTTCTTGGAGAAAGCGAAAAGTTAATGTGGCAACAATGGCGAACGGCATACCCAGATGTATATGCTGCCCTTGAAGCAATCGCAGATGAACCACAGAATATAACATCACAAGTTAGGCAGTTAATATTGTTAGAAGATCCATACCGAGGCTCAACTGATGAACAAGACAGAGCCTACAGAGATCTAGACAGAATAACTTGTGAAGAAACCAAGAACTTGTGGACATTCTTGGAGGATTTCAGGCAGTTAGCAATAAAGTCTGGAAGGCTGTACTTCCCCTCAACAACAGAAAAACTTTTTGCTAAACTTCCACCTTCTCTATCCAAGAAAGTTGAAGAATCATTTAAAGCCAGGTACCCTGGTCTAAGTTCAGGAGTTCTGCCTGCAATCAAATTCACTCATACTTTCATCTCAGAAATGTGCAAAGATGCGGCGCTTGCCAAAGAGCTTAGAGATTTATCTCTTTGTTCAGCCATACCAATTCCTGGTTATTACAAAAACAACAGGAAAAAGTATGGAATGAGGAAGTCGAAGACTTACAAAGGAAAGCCACATGGTTCTCATGTAAAGCCATTCAAAAGAAAGTACAAAGATGACAGAGGACGAGTCAAGAAATGCAAATGCTTTATTTGTGGAAAGGAAGGGCATTTCGCAAAAGATTGCAAAAGCAAGCAAGGAAACATTGCAAGATCAGCTGTCTATCAAGAACTGGATCTTGATGACAACTGGGACATTGTCTCAGCAGACTTTGATGACACCAGTGTCTATAGTATATCAGAAGGAGAAGGCGATACCCATCAAAGCATCAGTGTTATGGTCCAAGATACTCCATTTGAAGAAGCAGCTTTCACAATAACACATGAAGATAATGAAAGTAGCAGCGAAGATGAAAGAGAGGATATCCAACATAGTCATTATGCTTTCATGTTCCATCCAGGACCACCAACAAAAATAGCAGATATGGTTCAATCCGTAGGATCGTGGAAACCAAGCAAAGAATTGCCAGCTCAAAGTAAAAACTGTGAGCATGATTGGAAGGAAAACACAGTCACAAATTACACGATCTGTTATTACTGTGGAATACTAACCACAGACGTGTCAAGACTTAACT